TATTATTAAAATCTAGAGCAATAAAACTGATATGTCATCTGATAAATCCAGATGAACTCTTTTATTATGCAAAAAGAAATGCAACGCAACGCATTGATTCTGTAAATGAAGCTGTAGGTGTCTCACGTTTGTTTGTGAATCAGGGAATATATATGGTAAAGCTGTTTTCATGACTTATGCTCAGCACTTATAAACCCCTAATGTCTAGCTGCTGGACTTGACGTCTTCTAACTCTATGTTAATGTCTTGTTTATTAAATATGGTTATAATGGCCAGATGAAAAGATTGTAAACACATAGCATTCTTATTTATAAATATTATTTTTCTTCTCACGCAGAAGCCAGTCAAAGGATTTTTGTTTGCAAAGCTCTACTATGAAGCAAAAGAATATGAACTTGCAAAAAGGTGCGTATAGAAGTGTTTGCATAAGGAGCTGATTTGCCTTTGCAGTATTGACTGTAATTGATACACGTCATATATGCCCCTCCTAGGCATGTATCCGAGTATCTCAAAGTGCAGGAGAGGGATCCCAAAGCACACAAATTCCTTGGACAGCTCTATGAAAGAGAAGGAGAGATCAATAAGGCCATCGGTTGCTACAAGGTAGGATGGTTATGCTGAGTGTAAAGGGTGAAGAACCCTTGATGGTTAATGCATTAATCTAGGGTTAATATGTGCCACAAATTGTTGTGTTTTTTTTACATGAATAATTTCTGTCGGCTTTTTTTTTGTTTAGTATAGAGGCTCCATCAAAATACAGCATGCATAAAAATGAATTTAAACATAGGTTTTCCACTTAACTTTAGGCTAAAATAACTGTATTGTTTTCAAATACAAGTTTGAAACTATTTGCAAATAAAACATTCTTTACAACTTAAAAAAAATTACCCCAGAAGTGTATCTGTTGTGGCTCTTAAACATAATGTAATATGAACAAATCCATATTTTCCCCTGTGGAAGCCTCTTTAATTTTGAGGACAGCTGTAGTAATTCGCAGTGTGACTCTTCATGTGCAAATGTTCCTGCTTTAAATCTTGTGTTTTTATGCAGCGATCGGTGGACTTGAACCCACTGCAACGAGACCTGGTGCTGAGGATTGCTGAGTTACTGATCAGTAAGGAGGACTGCGACAGCAGAGCAGAGTTCTGGGTTGATAAAGCTGCAAAGCTCATGCCTGGAAACCCTCAAGTCTTCAACCTAAAGGTAAGATCTCCTCTACTAAGTTATACTTCGGCGTTTTTAGGCCATCTGTGATGCAGCTACCCCTCTAGCTTGTGCTTCTGAACAGCTTCCTTGTTCTCAGCTCTCTGCTGCACATCTGTTTGTATGTTCAGGAACGGCTGTTGAGTCGCCAGGGCCAGAAGGGCTGGAACCAGTTGTTCGATCTCCTCCAAGCAGAGCTGGCTGCGCGACCGGCTGACGCTTACGTGAATGTAAAGTTGGTTCAGCTGTTTTGTGAGGACGGTCAGAAGGATGAGGCCGTAAAGCATTGCCTGGCTACAGAGAAAAAAGGTCTGCTACGCAACAGTGCAGAGTGGTACAATGTGCAGTTGAACACTTTACAGGTGAGGACTCACCCTCATTTTTTGGGCCAAATGTATCTTTAATCAGCCGGGAGCATATTTAATTTAATTAGGTGTTTCATGTTGTTTTTCCGAGCATCATTAAAAACTGAAGCTGTTAAACTTGATGTCTTCCAGGATTATCTGGCTCAGCCCAGCGTTTCAAGCAATGAGAAGATGTGTCGACGTCTCCAGAGAGAAGTACTGCTGGCACACTGCAACCTGCTGCGCATCAGACTTTCTGAGAGCGGCGTGCAGCCGAGCCTCGATGCATTCAGAGGGTAGGTCAGCTACAGGAGCGTTTCTATTGTTGAAATAACCTTTGTATGTAAAATTAAATCCAAAATACTTGGTTAGAACCTCATTCATTATTGCAGTGGTTCCCAAAGATTTTCTTCTGGGCCCCCCTTTGGATTACAATAAAATTCCCACCCCCCCC